AGGAAGAGCGTAACCTTGGAGGGGGTAGGTTGCCGGATAACATAAACTCGCTCCAGCCCTTTCGCGCTCCCTCATCCAAGATGGCAGCTGCCATGAAACGATCCAAATGTTAGGTGAGTATTTATTGCTCGTACCCACAACGTACGTCTGTATTGCGAGCTATGTACAGTCGCAAGACTTTGTTGTACTACCCCGCTTAAAAGGAAGTCTTTTTACTTATTTATTTATTTATTTAGTGTAAAAAGTCAAACACGAGGAAGGAAAAAGTTGGTTGTTTGTTATGGCTCTAACTGCTATTGTGGATACTTGCGAACAAAAACGTTCCAGTCTTTCGAGTTTTCGGTTTGTGTGTGTTTGCGTGTCGAGGAAAGTTATATTGATCATTCATTTACATCCCTTTAACATTCCTTCAGACCTGAAATTGTTATTAGGCAATTACATAAAACAGCATCTGTAAGCATGAATAAATACAAGTTTTATTAGTATTTAAAATCTAAAAATGAGAAAATTTATTTTAACTTGAAATCAAGTCATCACTTTTGGAAATAATCTATTTCTTTTAAGTCTATATTAAACATGAACTGAAACAATGCTAAGCAACAACATATTCTAATAAATACTCGAGCAGATTCGTGAAGCAAGGGATATGCTATTATTTCAATAGCTTTACTTTATAAACCGCGTAAGCCTTTTTTAAAATCAGAAACTACGAGGCTAGTTTTTGATTTGCCATCCCCTGAATATCCTTAATGCGACATTGAAAAGGGTTAGCGGTTTTTAGTTTTTCTTCGACTGTTTTATGCATTTTAACAACGGAAAACCTGTATACTGCTGGTCTGACGGAATTTTAAGAAAGCACTCTGCTTAACATCAACAAGGATATAAAAACTCAACGTACATGACAAAAACAAAAAAAATGCTCAATTATTTAAAGTCTTGAGAAAAACAGTGTTTGAATAATCCCAACATTTTCATTTTTGTAGAAATCTGATGTTTAAATACCACCACCTTGACAAACACAACGCTCGATTAACCTATAAACTTCCACGCAACACCATATAACTCCCCACAAAAAAATTTTTGGAAAGATTTATGTGTAATGATTGGATCCAACAATATTAGACCTTTAGGTTCTAAAACAAGGGCGACTACGAGGACGAAAATTTTCATTACCTAAGTAGTACGCGTGCGTGAACCAGGGCAGAAGAACGGGACAGACGTCGTAATTATACCACGCGTTTTAGCGAGAATGTCGTAGTGGCTGGAACAAGTTATCGAAATGTAAGTAGTTTTAAAAATATAAAGTATATGAAAAATATAAATATGAAAAGAATATATCAATATAAAAAAGCGAGCTCTCATTCCTGAAGAAAAAATGTAAACATAAAAATAAAGGTTTCTGGGGTATCCATGCATTTTCATTGTATACCCGAGAAAACCTTAAAAAGTCAAATCTTGTCTTGTCTTGTCTTGTCTTCCTTGTCTTAAAATTTAAAGGTCTCTTACTATTAATTACTTAATGTATAGCCCAAACCCCCTTTTCTGGATTCAAACCAGTTGACGTAGTCTTACAGAAACTGTTGTACTGCATGCACCTAGATAGTCACACTCGATACGTTTTTTTGTTTTGTATATCGTTAAGTTTACTGTGTTCATCTAGCCTTGCTCTCTTTCAGTGTTGATTCTCATGGCAAATGATATTGAAATCTTCCTGCAATGAATGTACGAAGAGTGACGTCGGTTACCAAGCTTCCCCACTGGATTTTAACTGTTGACTCATTCACCTTCGTGCACACCGGGTTCAAGTGGTAGAGGCGAGTAGACGTGGCTACCTTGTGGCACTTATCCGTTTTGTTGAAGTACGTGTAAGACTCAAATCGTCCGAAGCAAAACCTTTTGTCCTGCTCAGGATCATAGCCAGGTATACTCGTCAACAGCGGTTTGCAGCAGCCGGCGCATTTCCTGATACCACCACTGATTTCTTTGACTATTAGAGGAGCTGTTGGAGGCGGGATACTCGGCTTTGGCGCTTTCTTGATGACGATTGTCGTGTCATTTAATGTTTCTGAAAACAGCTCTTCGTTGACATTTTGCACATCACTGACTTGTGAATGAGGAGTGTCCACTGCAGCCTTTCGTTTTCTGGCAGGTGCTTTCGATCCAACGTTTTTCGGGGAAGTTGAGGTAGCAACTCTAGTGAGGTTTCTTCCAGTATACTGTGAAATCATCTTTTCGAAGCAATCGGTGTGGATTGCCACTGCCACCGAGTGCTGGCACAAATTGTTTCGTGCGTAATGTGAGCAATGGCAAAAGATCTTACCACTCTTGAGGCATGATACTTTATGTGGAAGTTGAGAGCCACTGTCCACAAAGAAAGTGCCTGACTGGAAGCCCTCACGGATTGCGTTGTTATGAGCGATAACCTTCGCTTTCTCCACAATCGAAGATGCTTCCTCCTTAGTAAAATGTGGGGAGAGACTACTAAGGATTGGCGTATCGTCCACTGCGGATGCGCTTGATAGCACACCATAATTACAACCACCAGATGATTGCTTGCAATTGGCAGTAAACTTGAAATCTCGGCACGCCTTGTACGCTTTGCCATCAGGTTGTAGATTGCGAAGTCTCTTTACTTCCTTTGTGCGTTTCTCTGAAGACATTTCATCATATGCGATTGTGGGCATGAAACGGCGATAATCTTGTTTCACTTGCCATTTCTCGGACATCCCGAACCAGGCAAGCTCCTCTTCATAGTGAAAGGACTTTACAAAATCAAAACAAGAAATGATGAAGGAATCCATTTCTTGAGGTACAAATGAATTCCAGGACTTCATCATGTCGTTCATCGATTCCGGTACATTTTGCTGATAAGGCTCTTCACCAAGGCCAAGACCTTCCATGACATATCTTGCTGTACAGTTCTGGATATCTTCAACTTTGTTGCGATCGAAGTAAGTATTCAGAAAATCTTGGTTACCCGACCCTTTCGGAGGTTTCCACGGCATTCCATTTCTCACGAACAGCTGACAACTGTGTGTCGAACTCCTCGCGGGAGTGTGACCAGATCAGTCCAGGGTTGGCATATACATCTTTGACGATCTGATTTGTCAGCTGCTGTGACAAACCCAGCTGACGAGCTTTTTCCTTTACGTTCCGTTCACTATGTATGTAGCACAAAGGAGGGCTTGAAAGCCAGCTGCAAGGGCATTTCGTAAGGCGGTCTCGTCATCTGTTCCTGTTGCGTGTAAATATCGGGACAGTCCAGGAACTTCTCGTAAAAGGCGATGGACAAACGAGAGATATGTACTTTGGTCTTTTGTCATACATATGATCAGAGGTCCAGGAAATGCTGGGGCATTCA